CTGAGGGACACAGAATTGTTACTGAGGGACACAGAATTGTTACTCAGGGACACACAGAATGTTACTGAGGGGACACAGAATTGTTACTCAGGGACACAGAATTGTTACTCAGGGACACAGAATTGTTACTCAGGGACAGACACAGAATTGTTACTGAGGGACACAGAATTGTTACTGAGGGACACAGAATTGTTACTGAGGGACACAGAATTGTTACTCAGGGACACACAGAATTGTTACTGAGGGACACAGAATTGTTACTCAGGGACACAGAATTGTTACTCAGGGACACAGAATTGTTACTCAGGGACACAGAATTGTTACTCAGAGGACACAGAATTGTTACTCAGGGACACAGAATTGTTACTCAGGGGACACAGAATTGTTACTCAGGGAATTGTTACAGGGACACAGAATTGTTACTCAGGGACACAGAATTGTTACTGAGGGACACAGAATTGTTACTGAGGGACACAGAATTGTTACTGAGGGACACAGAATTGTTACTCTGAGGGACACAGAATTGTTACTGAGGGACACAGAATTGTTACTCAGGGACACAGAATTGTTACTCAGGGACACAGAATTGTTACTCAGGGACAGACACAGAATTGTTACTCAGGGACACAGAATTGTTACTCAGGGACACATAATCGTTGAATTAAAGAGTATGTCAGACAACATGCAGAGGAGTGGCAGAGGAGGCAATGTTTTAGGAGCGAGCAGACGTGGCAGCAGAGGAAGGGGTCGAGGCAGCACTAGTCGCAGCCAGAGGCCAGTGCTCCCGGTGTCATCCAGCGGTCGTGTCTCTCCACCGACAACCCTGCCGTCATCGATTGGTTGGCTCGGTCGTCTTCCTCTTCCCAGGTCACCTCTGACACCTACAGCCAACGGTCGGTGTGTACGTCAGACACAACCGTTAGTTGGCATGGCCCGGGAGCAAGCCCACTGAAATCACGTGTCCTCTACCTGCCCCTGTCCTTTGCTGTTCCCTCACCAAGCGAAGTATCATGCTGTGGGCTCAGCCCCACTGTACAGTGAGGAAGAGAGCTAACAGAGGGCGGTCAGGAACGGGGGGGAGACATCCGCCTCTTCAGCAGCCAGGCGAAGAAGTACTGGCGAGGAGAGTGCTCGGTAGCCGGTCTAGAGACAGGTCTGTCTCCTGACCCACACGCAGCCGAGGGGGCTAGTAGTGAGGCGGAGACCCTAATTGATGATGATGAGAGGCTGATCGCACTTGGCAGCCTCGTCGTCATCAGGCATTTCTTCCGCATCATCAGGAGAAGAGGGTGCCAGCTTGGCAGCGAGCAAAACAGTCGGTGGGTTGCCCAGGAGGCAGCAGGGTCGCAGCAGTGTGTCAGTGGAGGCAAACGGCCACGGAGTAGAGCACCAGCTCCACTGCAGCCTACCACCACGGCCAGTAGTGGTGCCGGTGTGCACGGAGGAAGTAGCAGTCAGCCAGTGAGGAGTAGCGGGGGCAAAGTTTCCTACTCGGCGGTGTGGCAATTTTTCGTCAAGCCGCCCGAGGAAGTAAACGTAGCCGTATGTCGTCGACTATGTGGCCAGAAAGTCAAGCGTGGCCAGGGGGCCCATGTTGGGACTACAGCGTTGCGTCAGCATATGCAGCGTCGCCATTCGGTGGCCTGGGAAAACCGTGATAAAGATACGGCGGTTCTTCTGCCTGCCCCAGCCCCCGCTCCATCACCCGCTCCGTTACTTGCTCCGTCACCCGACGTCAATCGCCCTCTATCAGCCAGTCAAGGCTCCAACACCTCTGCTGAGGGGAGTTGTCGCTCGTTGGGGATTTCCGCTCGTTCAGATGCTCCTTCTCCTGCTACTCCTCTTCACGGATTCCGTCAGCAGTCTTTTTTGGAATCCGTTTCCAAGAGACAACAGTTTGCGAGCACGCACCCGACGGTGCAAAAGCTGAACGTCCTCCTGTCCAAGTTGCTGGTGCTGCAGTCCCTCCCTTTCCAAGTGGTGGACTCAGCACCTTTCCGAGAAATGATGGCTTGTGCCGCGCCGCGGTGGAGAGTGCCAAGCCGGCATTTCTTCGCCAAAAAGGCAGTGCCAGCCCTGCATTCACATGTAGAAGAGATGGTGGGGCCAGTCTTTGAGCATGTCGGTCTCTGCCAAAGTGCACGGCAGCGCCGACGTGTGGAGCTGTAACTACGGTCAGGGACAGTACATGTCATTTACGGCCCACTGGGTGAACGTGGTGCCGGCACAGCCGCACCAGCAACTTGGACAGGTCACGACGCTTTTGCCTCCACGTTTGCACGTCCTTGGTCCAGCAAAGATGTCCGCCTCTACCACCTCTTCTTCCGCCGTGTCCTCAGCCGCCACCCCCCCCCCGTGCCAAGTCCCATTACCCGACCGGCATATCACATGTGCAGGGCGCAACGGTGTCACGCTGTGCTGCACCTGGTATGCCTTGGCGAACGTAGTCACACAGGGGAGGAACTTCTGAGTGTAATGAACAGAGAAATCGACAGATGGCTGTCTCCGCGCAAACTGAAAATCGGAACCCATGTTGACCGACAACGGAAAGAACATGGTGTCTGCTCTGCGTCAAGGAAGGTTGTGCCATGCGCCATGCATGGCTCACGTGTTCAATCTGGTTGTCAAGCGGTTCCTAAAATCCACCATCCCACTGCAAGACATCCTTAAAATGTCACGTAAACTTTGCATGCATTTCAGCCATTCCTACACCGCAAAGCACACCCTCCTTGAGCTGCAGCGGCAGAACGGAATTCCACAGCATCGCCTGATCTGCGACGTTGCAACAAGGTGGAATTCAACCCTACACATGTTAGACCGCCTTTACGAGCAGCGAAAGGCCATCACCGATTTCCTGATGTTACAAGCGGATAAAGGTACTCCCCTGTGTAAACTTCGATGTCAGCCATTGGCAGCTCATGCGTGACACCTGCCGCTTGCTCAGGCCCTTTGAGGAGGCCACGCTATTCGTGAGTCGGCAGGACTATGGGATGAACGACGTCATTCCTCTGTTGCACGTCCTGGAACAAATGCTGTTAACAATGGCTGGTCAGGGTGCGGTAGACGTGGCGCACAGATCTCAACGCCACATGACCCCTGTGGGGGCAGGACAGGAAGAAGAGGAGGAGGTAGAGGAGGACATTTGTGCTCAGGAATTATTGAGTGAAATGGGTGGTTTTTCCACTCAGCGGACAGGAGTGGAGGAGCAGGAGCATCTGGTAGAGGAGGAGGAGGAGACAGAGGACCCAGACGCACCGTGGCAGTATGCTGTGGAGATGGAGGCAGGGAGTCCCTCGCATTCCTTGGCACAAATGGCCCATAGCATGCTCGGTTGCTTGCGTAGCGACAGCCGAATAATAACCATCAGACAGAGGGATGACTTTTGGCTGTCCACCTTGTTGGACCCTCGCTACCGTTCCAAAATGGTGGCCTTTTTCACACCTGCTGAGAGGGAGGCCAAAATTAACGTACTATAAAAACCACCTATGTAGTCAGTTGGTCTCTGCCTTTCTGCGCCAACGTCCATCCTCAGACACTGTGGGCCCTGTGCGCTCGCGTTCCGCTGCCATGGCAGCAGCAGCAGGGGAGGGGTGGGGTGGTAGGAGCAGTGGCAGCTCCACCAGCAGCGGCTGCCTCAGTCTGCAGTCGATGATGAGTAGCTTTCTTCACCAGCGCAGTGAGGAAACTACTAACCAGCCGCAGCAGCAGCAGCATCAGGTGGACCTGGAGCAGGAGCTCAAACAACAGGCTTGGGCCTACTTGGACAGCACCCTGCCAACCGAGGTAGACAATCCCCTTGACTACTGGGCAACGAAACTTGACCTTTGGCCCCAACTAGCTGAATTTGCCCTTGAAAGGCTGTCATGCCCGGCCAGTAGCGTGGCATCGGAGCGCGTGTTTTTAGTGCGGCAGGAGGTATTGTAACTCCGCGGAGGACACGACTGTCCACCCAAAGTGTGGAGAGACTCACGTTTGTGAAAATGAATCAGGCGTGGATTAGTCTGGATTTCAAACCACCAGTTCCTGACACAACTGACTAAATCCGCCATGAATCATGCCCCAAACATGTGCCACTTTCAGGTCTCCTCACACTGCTGGTTCCATTTGCTTCAATTTTGTAAGCTGCTGTACTCTTCGCCACTGCTGCCAGGGCCCCTGCCTGGCAGATTACGGGCCTCCTCTTGCTGCTGCCAGGTCCAGAATCTGTCATGGGTCCCTGTACGGCCTCCCCATGCTGCTGCCATCGCCAGTGTGTCTGCCATGTGCCACTTTCAGGTCTCCTCACACTGCTGCTGTGTTCCATTTTGTCATAGGGTGCTGGCAGATTACGGGCCCCATTGCTGCCCAGGCCCCTAATCTGCTGCCAGGCCCCTAATCTGCCATGGGCCCCGTACCGCCTCCATTGCTGCTGCTCCAGGTCCACAGTGTGTCATGCCATGTGCCACTTTCAGGTCTCCTCACACTGCTGCTGTGTTTCCATTTTGTCATAGGGTGCTGGCAGATTACGGGCCTCCCATTGCTGCTGCTGCCAGGCCCCTAATCTGCCATGGGCCCCCGTACCGCCTCCTCATGCATGCTGCCAGGTCCACAGTGTGTCATGCCATGTGCCACTTTCAGGTCTCCTCACACTGCTGCTGCTGTGTTCCATTTTGTCATAGGATGCTGGCAGATTACGGGCCTCCCATAGCTGCTGCCAGGCCCCTAATCTGCCATGGGCCCCCGTACCGCCTCCTCACGCTGCTGCCAGGTCCACAGTGTGTCATGGGTCCCTGTCCCATTGCTGTGTCCATGCCATGTGCCACTTTCAGGTCTCCTCACACTGCTGCTGTGTTCCATTTTGTCATAGGGTGCTGGCAGATTACGGGCCTCCCATTTGCTGCTGCCAGGCCCCTAATCTGCCATGGGCCCCTGTACCGCCTCCTCATGCTGCTGCCAGGTCCACAGTGTGCATGGGTCCCTGTACCGTCCATTGCTGTGTGTGTCTCCATCGCCACACTGCCATGTGCCACTTTCAGGTCTCCTCACACTGCTGCTGGGTTCCATTTTGTCATAGGGTGCTGGCAGATTACGGGCCTCCCATTGCTGCTGCCAGGCCCCTAATCTGCCATGGGCCCCTGTACCGCCTCCTCATGCTGCTGCCAGGTCCACAGTGTGTCATGGGTCCCTGTACGGCCTCCCATTGCTGCTGTCTCCATCGCCACACTCTGCCATGTGCCACTTTCAGGTCTCCTCACACTGCTGCTGGGTTCCATTTTGTCATAGGGTGCTGCTGGCAGATTACGGGCCTCCCATTGCTGCTGCCAGGCCCCTAATCTGCCATGGGCCCCTGTACCGCCTCCTCACGCTGCTGCCAGGTCCACAGTGTCTCATGGGTCCCTGTACCGCCTCCCATTGCTGCTGTCTCCATCGCCACACTCTGCCATGTGCCACTTTCAGGTCTCCTCACACTGCTGCTGGGTTCCATTTTGTCATAGGATGCTGGCAGATTACGGGCCTCCCATTGCTGCTGCCAGGCCCCTAATCTGCCATGGGCCCCTGTACCGCCTCCTCACGCTGCTGCCAGGTCCACAGTGTGTCATGGGTCCCTGTACGGCCTCCCATTGCTGCTGTCTCCATCGCCACACTCTGCCATGTGCCACTTTCAGGTCTCCTCACACTGCTGCTGGGTTCCATTTTGTCATAGGGTGCTGGCAGATTACGGGGGGCTCCCATTGCTGCTGCCAGGCCCCTAATCTGCCATGGGCCCCTGTACCGCCTCCTCATGCTGCCAGGTCCACAGTGTCTCATGGGTCCCTGTACAGCCTCCCATTGCTGCTGTCCATGCCACACTGCCATGCCACTTTCAGGTCTCCTCACACTGCTGCTGGGTTCCATTTTGTCATAGGATGCTGGCAGATTACGGGCCTCCCATTGCTGCGGCCAGGCCCCTAATCTGCCATGGGCCCCTGTACCGCCTCCTCATGCTGCTGCCAGGTCCACAGTGTGTCATGGGTCCCTGTACGGCCTCCCATTGCTGCTGTCTCCATCGCCACACTCTGCCATGTGCCACTTTCAGGTCTCCTCACACTGCTGCTGGGTTCCATTTTGTCATAGGATGCTGGCAGATTACGGGCCTCCCATTGCTGCTGGCCAGGCCCCTAATCTGCCATGGGCCCCTGTACCGCCTCCTCACACTGCTGCCAGGTCCACAGTGTGTCATGGGTCCCTGTACGGCCTCCCATTGCTGCTGCTGTCTCCATCGCCACACTCTGCCATGTGCCACTTTCAGGTCTCCTCACACTGCTGCTGGGTTCCATTTTGTCATAGGGTGCTGGCAGATTACGGGCCTCTCCATTGCTGCTGCCAGGCCCCTAATCTGCCATGGGCCCCTGTACCGCCTCCTCATGCTGCTGCCAGGTCCACAGTGTCTCATGGGTCCCTGTACGGCCTCCCATTGCTGCTGTCTCCATCGCCACACTCTGCCATGTGCCACTTTCAGGTCTCCTCACACTGCTGGGGTTCCATTTTGTCATAGGATGCTGGCAGATTACGGGCCTCCCATTGCTGCTGCCAGGCCCCTAATCTGCCATGGGCCCCTGTACCGCCTCCTCACGCTGCTGCCAGGTCCACAGTGTGTCATGGGTCCCTGTACCGCCTCCCATTGCTGCTGTCTCCATCGCCACACTCTGCCATGTGCCACTTTCAGGTGTCTCAGGTCACACTGCTGCTGGGTTCCATTTTGTCATAGGATGCTGGCAGATTACGGGCCTCCCATTGCTGCGGCCAGGCCCCTAATCTGCCATGGGCCCCTGTACCGCCTCCTCACGCTGCTGCCAGGTCCACAGTGTCTCATGGGTCCCTGTACCGCCTCCCATTGCTGCTGTCTCCATCGCCACACTCTGCCATGTGCCATGTGCCACTTTCAGGTCTCCTCACACTGCTGCTGGGTTCCATTTTGTCATAGGATGCTGGCAGATTACGGGCCTCCCATTGCTGCGGCCAGGCCCCTAATCTGCCATGGGCCCCTGTACCGCCTCCTCACGCTGCTGCCAGGTCCACAGTGTGTCATGGGTCCCTGTACCCTCCCTCCCATTGCTGCTGTCTCCATCGCCACACTCTGCCATGTGCCACTTTCAGGTCTCCTCACACTGCTGCTGGGTTCCATTTTGTCATAGGATGCTGGCAGATTACGGGCCTCCCATTGCTGCGGCCAGGCCCCCCCTAATCTGCCATGGGCCCCTGTACCGCCTCCTCACGCTGCTGCCAGGTCCACAGTGTGTCATGGGTCCCTGTACCGCCTCCTCCCATTGCTGCTGTCTCCATCGCCACACTCTGCCATGTGCCACTTTCAGGTCTCCTCACACTGCTGCTGGGTTCCATTTTGTCATAGGATGCTGGCAGATTACGGGCCTCTCCCATTGCTGCTGCCAGGCCCCTAATCTGCCATGGGCCCCTGTACCGCCTCCTCACGCTGCTGCCAGGTCCACAGTGTGTCATGGGTCCCTGTACCGCCTCCCATTGCTGCTGTCTCCATCGCCACACTCTGCCATGTGCCACTTTCAGGTCTCCTCACACTGCTGCTGGGTTTCCATTTTGTCATAGGATGCTGGCAGATTACGGGCCTCCCATTGCTGCTGCCAGGCCCCTAATCTGCCATGGGCCCCCCTGTACCGCCTCCTCACGCTGCTGCCAGGTCCACAGTGTGTCATGGGTCCCTGTACCGGCCTCCCATTGCTGCTGTCTCCATCGCCACACTCTGCCATGTGCCACTTTCAGGTCTCCTCACACACTGCTGCTGGTTCCATTTGTCATAGGATGCTGGCAGATTACGGGCCTCCCATTGCTGCTGCCAGGCCCCTAATCTGCCATGGGCCCCTGTACCGCCTCCTCATGCTGCTGCAGGTCCACAGTGTGTCATGGGTCCCTGTACCGCCTCCCATTGTGCTGTGTCCATCGCCACACTCTGCCATGTGCCACTTTCAGGTCTCCTCACACTGCTGCTGGGTTTCCATTTTGTCATAGGATGCTGGCAGATTACGGGCCTCCCATTGCTGCTGCCAGGCCCCTAATCTGCCATGGGCCCCTGTACCGCCTCCTCACGCTGCTGCCAGGTCCACAGTGTGTCATGGGTCCCTGTACCGCCTCCCATTGCTGCTGTCTCCATCGCCACACTCTGCCATGTGCCACTTTCAGGTCTCCTCACACTCTGCTGCTGGGTTCCATTTTGTCATAGGATGCTGGCAGATTACGGGCCTCCCATTGCTGCTGCCAGGCCCCTAATCTGCCATGGGCCCCTGTACCGCCTCCTCACGCTGCTGCCAGGTCCACAGTGTGTCATGGGTCCCTGTACCCTGTCCCATTGCTGCTGTCGCCACACTCTGCCATGTGCCACTTTCAGGTCTCCTCACACTGCTGCTGGGGTGTCCATTTTGTCATAGGATGCTGGCAGATTACGGGCCTCCCATTGCTGCGGCCAGGCCCCTAATCTGCCATGGGCCCCTGTACCGCCCGCCCCTCACGCTGCTGCCAGGTCCACAGTGTGTCATGGGTCCCTGTACGGCCTCCCATTGCTGCTGTCTCCATCGCATCGCCACACTCTGCCATGTGCCACTTTCAGGTCTCCTCACACTGCTGCTGGGTTCCATTTTGTCATAGGATGCTGGCAGATTACGGGCCTCCCATTGCTGCGGCCAGGCCCCTAATCTGCCATGGGCCCCTGTACCGCCTCCTCACGCTGCTGCCAGGTCCACAGTGTGTCATGGGTCCCTGTACGGCCTCCCACCGCCTCCCATTGCTGCTGTCTCCATCGCCACACTCTGCCATGTGCCACTTTCAGGTCTCCTCACACTGCTGCTGGGTTCCATTTTGTCATAGGATGCTGGCAGATTACGGGCCCTCATTGCTGCGGCCAGGCCCCTAATCTGCCATGGGCCCCTGTACCGCCTCCTCACGCTGCTGCCAGGTCCACAGTGTCTCATGGGTCCCTGTACGGCCTCCCATTGCTGCTGTCTCCATCGCCACACTCTGCCATGTGCCACTTTCAGGTCTCCTCACACTGCTGCTGGGTTCCATTTTGTCATAGGATGCTGGCAGATTACGGGCCTCCCATTGCTGCTGCCAGGCCCCTAATCTGCCATGGGCCCCTGTACCGCCTCCTCACGCTGCTGCCAGGTCCACAGTGTGTCATGGGTCCCTGTACCGCCTCCCATCCCATTGCTGCTGTCTCCATCGCCACACTCTGCCATGTGCCACTTTCAGGTCTCCTCACACTCCTGCTGCTGGGTTCCATTTTGTCATAGGTTGCTGGCAGATTACGGGCCTCCCATTGCTGCTGCCAGGCCCCTAATCTGCCATGGGCCCCTGTACCGCCTCCTCATGCTGCTGCCAGGTCCCCCTGTAGTGCTGCCCTGTACCGCCCTCATGCTGCCAGGTCCACAGTGTGTCATGGGTCCCTGTACCTTTCAGCCTCCCCATGCTGCTGTGTCTCCATCGCCACACTCTGCCATGTGCCACTTTCAGGTCTCCTCACACTGCTGCTGGGTTCCATTTTGTCATAGGGTGCTGCTGGCAGATTACGGGCCTCACATTGCTGCTGCCAGGCCCCTAATCTGCCATGGGCCCCTGTACCGCCTCCTCACGCTGCTGCCAGGTCCACAGTGTGTCATGGGTCCCTGTACCGGCCTCCCATTGCTGCTGTCTCCATCGCCACACTCTGCCCATGTGCCACTTTCAGGTCTCCTCACACTGCTGCTGGGTTCCATTTTGTCATAGGGTGCTGGCAGATTACGGGCCTCACATTGCTGCTGCCAGGCCCCTAATCTGCCATGGGCCCCTGTACCGCCTCCTCATGCTGCTGCCAGGTCCACAGTGTCTCATGGGTCCCTGTACCGGCCTCCCATTGCTGCTGCTGTCTCCATCGCCACACTCTGCCATGTGCCACTTTCAGGTCTCCTCACACTGCTGCTGGGTTCCATTTTGTCATAGGATGCGCAGATTACGGGCCTCCCATTGCTGCTGCCAGGCCCCTAATCTGCCATGGGCCCCTGTACCGCCTCCTCACGCTGCTGCCAGGTCCACAGTGTGTCATGGGTCCCTGTACCCTCCCCCATTGCTGCTGTCTCCATCGCCACACTCTGCCATGTGCCACTTTCAGGTCTCCTCACACTGCTGCTGGGTTCCATTTTGTCATAGGGTGCTGGCAGATTACGGGCCTCCTCACATTGCTGCTGCCAGGCCCCTAATCTGCCATGGGCCCCTGTACCGCCTCCTCACGCTGCTGCCAGGTCCACAGTGTGTCATGGGTCCCTGTACGGCCTCCCATTGCTGCTGTCTCCATCGCCACACTCTGCCCATGTGCCACTTTCAGGTCTCCTCACACTGCTGCTGGGTTCCATTTTGTCATAGGATGCTGGCAGATTACGGGCCTCCCATTGCTGCGGCCAGGCCCCTAATCTGCCATGGGCCCCTGTACCGCCGCCTCCTCACGCTGCTGCCAGGTCCACAGTGTGTGTCATGGGTCCCTGTACGGCCTCCCATTGCTGCTGTCTCCATCGCCACACTCTGCCACTCTGCCATGTGCACTTTCAGGTCTCCTCACACTGCTGGGTTCCATTTTGTCATAGGATGCTGGCAGATTACGGGCCTCCCATTGCTGCGGCCAGGCCCCTAATCTGCCATGGGCCCCTGTACCGCCCCTCCTCCTCACGCTGCTGCCAGGTCCACAGTGTGTCATGGGTCCCTGTACGGCCTCCCATTGCTGCTGTCTCCATCGCCACACTCTGCCATGTGCCACTTTCAGGTCTCCTCACACTGCTGCTGGGTTCCATTTTGTCATAGGATGCTGCTGGCAGATTACGGGCCTCCCATTGCTGCGGCCAGGCCCCTAATCTGCCATGGGCCCCTGTACCGCCTCCTCCTCATGCTGCTGCCAGGTCCACAGCTGCTCATGGGTCCCTGTACAGGCCTCCCATTGCTGCTGTCTCCATGCCACACTGCCATGTGCCACTTTCAGGTCTCCTCACACTGCTGCTGGGTTCCATTTTGTCATAGGATGCAGATTACGGGCCTCCATTGCTGCGGCCAGGCCCCTAATCTGCCATGGGCCCCTGTACCCTCCTCACTCACGCTGCTGCCAGGTCCACAGTGTGTCATGGGTCCCTGTACGCCTCCCATTGCTGCTGTCATCGCCACACTCTGCCATGTGCCACTTTCAGGTGTCTCTCACACTGCTGCTGGGTTCCATTTTGTCATAGGATGCTGGCAGATTACGGGCCTCCCATTGCTGCGGCCAGGCCCCTAATCTGCCATGGGCCCCTGTACCGCCTCCTCCTCACGCTGCTGCCAGGTCCACAGTGTCTCATGGGTCCCTGTACGGCCTCCCATTGCTGCTGTCTCCATCGCCACACTCTGCCATGTGCCACTTTCAGGTCTCCTCACACTGCTGCTGGGTTCCATTTTGTCATAGGGTGCTGGCAGATTACGGGCCTCACATTGCTGCGGCCAGGCCCCTAATCTGCCATGGGCCCCTGTACCGCCTCCTCACGCTGCTGCCAGGTCCACAGTGTGTCCTCCCATTGCTGCTGTCTCCATCGCCACACTCTGCCATGTGCCACTTTCAGGTGTCCTCACACTGCTGCTGGGTTCCATTTTGTCATAGGATGCTGGCAGATTACGGGCCTCAGGCCCTTTGAGGAGGCCACGCTATTCGTGAGTCGGCAGGACTATGGGATGACAACGTCATTCCTCTTTTGCACGTCCTGGAACAAATGCTGTTAACAATGGCTGGTCAGGGTGCGGTAGACGTGGCGCACAGATCTGAAACGCCACATGACCCCTGTGGGGGCAGGACAGGAAGAAGAGGAGGATGTAGAGAAGGACATTGGTGCTCAGGAATTATTGAGTGAAATGGGTGGTTTTTCCACTCAGCGGACAGGAGTGGAGGAGCAGGAGCATCTGGTAGAGGAGGAGGAGGAGGAGACAGAGGACCCAGACGCACCGTGGCAGTATGCTGTGGAGATGGAGGCAGGGAGTCCCTCGCATTCCTTGGCACAAATGGCCCATAGCATGCTCGGTTGCTTGCGTAGCGACAGCCGAATAATAACCATCAGACAGAGGGATGACTTTTTGGCTGTCCCACCTTGTTGGACCCTCGCTACCGTTCCAAAATGGTGGCCTTTTTCACACCTGCTGAGAGGGAGGCCAAAATTACGTACTATAAAAACCACCTATGTAGTCAGTTGGTCTCTGCCTTTGTGCGCCAACATCCATCCTCAGACACTGTGGGCCCTGTGCGCTCGCGTTCCGCTGCCATGGCAGCAGGGGAGGGTGGGGTGGTAGGAGCAGTGGCAGCTCCACCAGCAGCGTGGGTCCCTGTACGGCCTCTCATTGCTGCTGTCTTCATCGCCACACTCTGCCATGTGCCACTTTCAGGTCTCCTCACACTGCTGGTGGGTTCCATTTTGTCATAGGGTGCTGTATGGCCTCCCATTGCTGCTGCCTCCACCGCCACACTGTGGCTCCACACTCTGGTTTTGGCCCCGTGACTGCCCAAATGAGTGAAGTGTGCGGTGATTCTAAGATCGACGGCACTCATCTGCATGTCATACTGACTGACAGTATTATTTCTCTTCCCCAGCAGACTCCAAGGGCATTTAAATTAAAGGTACAGTGTTCTGCACTAATATTAAGTCTCTCTGAAGCCTAGAAACACCCTTTTATAAGTTAAATTCGCAGCGAATATATTCGACTCAAATCAAATTTTTTTCACGAATTCGCCGAATCAGTCGAATCGAATTTTTGAATACTTCGCTCATCTCTACTTGGCTTGGTATCAAGAGAGATCCCCGAACTTTCCATTTCTTAATAGGTTATATAACAGTGATGGCCTATTCAAGGCTTTGGACATCTTTATATGTCCTTTTCCATCTTTATAAAGTTCCATTACCTTGTTACGCAGGACTTTTGACAGTTCTTTTCTGCTCCCCATGGCTCAGTATCTAGCCTAGACAGTGCATCCACATAAGAGCTAACAAACTCACTGACTATTTATACACTGACACTAACTGCAATTTAAAAAGCCACAGATGAGGGACATTAACCTCTAATTGGCATTGTAACCCGTGTGTGTCCCCTTGTGAGTCTGTACCAAGGCCAAATTTTCCAAGGGGCGGAGACTTCTGATCCAGGGGGCGGAGACTTCTGATCCAGGGGGCGGAGACTTCTGATCCAGGGGGCGGAGACTTCAGTTCCGGGCCATTTGGGTGATTTCTGTTATCATTATGATTTAAAAAGGAGCCAAACAACCATCTGATAATAAATGGCTTCATATGATCATCATCCTTCAATAAAAGAGCATTTATTGGCAGATCCGTCAGATTTTCAATATCAATGCCAAAATTTCACTATTTCTGCCGGGGGAGGAAAAATTTTGAGCACAACTGTATATATATATATATGATGTGTTTTTTTCATAATTTTTTTTCTTCTTATTCTTCTTTCTATTCTTTATTTCTGTTTTTTTTTTTTTTTTTATCTGGTGGTCCCGCCACACATTACTGCAATGTAGAAGTGTAAATGGGCCCTAGCACACTTTTGGTTTTTATTCTATTCAATTGTATTCTAATGTATTTTATTCTTTTCTACTCTATTACATTATGTTTTGTTTAATTCTTTTCGAAATTCGAATTTTAGAAAATGGCTCTATTATTATTTCTATTTTATTTGATTCTATTCTAATCTGTTCTATTCTTTTAATTTTCTGTTCTTTTCCTTTATATTCTATTCTATTTTATTATATTCTGTTTTATTTTGTTCCTTTCTATTCTATTTTATTATATTCTGTTTTATTTTGTTCCTTTCTATTCTATTTTATTATATTCTGTTTTATTTTGTTCTTTTCTGTTCTATTTTATTATATTCTGTTTTATTTTTTTCTTTTCTATTCTATTTTATTATATTCTGTTTTATTTTGTTCCTTTTTATTCTATTGTATTAAATCCTATTCTTTTGGAAGTTCGAATCTTGGAGGACGGCTATATTCTTTCATTTTTTTTTTATTCTATTCTATTTAAAATTAAAATTTCAAATGACAGTTATATTCTTTCTATTTTCTTGTTCAAATATTTTATTAATTAATTTTAAAGGGGATGGAAACATAGGCATGGATGGGAACATAGGCATGGGAGACAAGCAAAAAATATAAAATGCATAGACATTTGAACGGGGATATATAGGGGGGGGGGTGTCAGGAAAAGAGAAGAGAAAAACAAGTGTGAAGGGGTAAGGGGGGAAGGGGGGGGGGGGGTTGAGTAGAAGTGGGGAGTAGGTAAGGGAAGACTTGGAGAGGGGATGGAGGAAGTTACGTGTAACTCCTAGGATGCTCCAGAAGGGTTCGAGACATATTATAACAAAGTATATTCTTTCTATTTTATTCCATTCTATTCTATTAAAATTTCAGAAGACAGTTATATTTTTTCTATTCTATTCTATTCTATTTTTTTCTGTGCTATTATTTTTAATTCTATCTATTCCTTTATTTTATATTCTTTTATTTTATTTTCAATTATTCTTTTTTTTTATTCTGTTCTTTTCAAAATTCAAATTTTGAAAGATAGCTATATTCTTTTATTTTTTTATTCTATTCTATTTAAAATTCAAACTTTTAAATGACGGTTACATTATTTCTATTTTATTCCATTCTATTCTATTCAAGTTTTGGAAGACAGCTATATTCTTTCTGTTTTATTCTATTTTTGTTTCTATGCTACTATTTCCTATTCTATCTATTACTTTATTTTTTTTTTATTTATTTTATTTTCAATTCTATTCTGTTTTTATTCTGTTCTTTTCAAAATTCGAATTTCGGAATATAGCTATATTCTTTTATTTTTTTATTCTATTCTATTTAAAATTCAAATTTTAAATGATGGTTATACTATTTCTATTTTATTCTATTCTATTTGGAATTTCGGAAGATGGATATATTCTAACACTAACACAGTCTTGAGGGAAATCAGCAATAGTCTGCAATATGTTTACAGTTCAAATTTGTTTTTCCGAATTTGATTTCAAATTCTTTTTTAAATCAATTCTGAATTCTTTTGGAATTCAATTCAAGTTTTTGACAAAACTTCCTTTTTGTTATTTCTGATTTTTTATAATTTGCCACTTTTGTAGTTTGGAAATTCAGATATCTCTCAATTCCGGAATAATGACAATTTTGTCCATATTTCTATTCGGATCAAACCGAACCGCGCATGTCTATAGAATACAACGATCCCAAACCACTATAGTTTACCATTAAAGGAAACATTTTTTTTCTGTTCCTCCAGGAAATGGAAAGGACAGTTTGACAAACAAAATACAGAGGAAAGAGAATTTGTGAGTGGATTGCCACCAATCCCTAACGCCAACGATGCACCGGAGGGGACTCTATAAGACGTACAAGGACAGAGAGCTGGATGTCAATGTGCTGGAGATGCCGTACGCCGATGACAACGCCGCCCTTCTCCTCATCGTACCGAGACTGGGTAACCTGTTCACCACGTGGAGGAATTACTGACCCCCCAGCTGATTCAAAAATACTTGAGCTCATTGAGTACCAGGTATGCATGACAGTTGTTTACAACAGAACTCAGCAGTTTGAATGTTGTTAGAGGGATCAGCCAAATGATCGTACAAAGTGCAACGTGCAGCGTGATGTCTGCTGGGTGAACGCAGGATCAACTGACAACGCCAGCAGGATGGTGACGGGGTATACCCACTATGGGCTGTAGGGGGCAGGACAGCAATTGATTTGTATGGAAAAAACCCCGGACCCCGCATTTACTATATCCGCTCTCCCCGGACCCCGCATTCACTACATCCGCTCTCCCCGGACCCCGCATTTGCTATATCCGCTCTCCCGGACCCTGCATTCACTATATCCGCTCTCCCCTGGACCCCGCATTCACTATATCCGCTCTCCCCGGACCCCGCATTCACTACATCCCCCCGCCCCGCATCACTCCCCCCCCGGACCCCGCATTCACTATATCCGCTCTCCCCGGACCCCCGCATTAACTATATATCCGCTCTCCCCGGACCCCGCATTCACTATATCCGCTCTCCCCGGACCCCGCATTCACTATATCCCTCTCCCCGGACCCCGCATTCACTATATCCCCTCCCCTGGACCCCGCATTCGCTATATCCCCTCTCCCTGGACCCCGCATTCACTATATCCGCTCTCCCCGGACCCCGCATTCACTATATCCCGCTCTCCCCGGACCCCGCATTCACTATATCCGCTCTCCCCGGACCCCGCATTCACTATATCCGCTCTCCCCGGACCCCGCATTCACTATATCCGCTCTCCCCGGACCCCCGCATTCACTATATCCGCTCTCCCCGGACCCCGCATTCACTATATCCGCTCTCCCCGGACCCCGCATTCACTATATCCGCTCTCCCCGGACCCCGCATTCACTATATCCGCTCTCCCCCCCTGTATCCCGCTCACTGATATCCTCGGACCCCCCGGATGTTGTCATGTTACAATGTATTTATTGGGATTGGATGTGATGGACACAAAGTGGTACATAATTGTGAAGTGGAAGGAAAATGAGAAATTGTTTCGAACATTTGTGACCAATAAATCTGTGAGAAGTGTGGCGGCATTTGTATTCAGCTCCATTTACTCTGATACCCCTAACTAAAATCTAGTGGAACCAATTGCCTTCAGAATTCACCTAATTAATAAACAGAGTCCCCCTGTGTGTCATGTGATCTCAGTATAAATCCAGCTGTTCTGTGAAGCCCTCAGAGGTTTGTTAGAGAACATTAGTGAACAAACAGCATCACGAAGGCCAAGGAACACACCAGACAGGTCAGGGATAAAGTTGTGGAGAAGTCGAAAGCAGGGTTTGGTTATTAAAAAATTTCCCAAACTTTGAACATCTCACGGAGCACTGTGTTCAATCCATCATCTGAAAATGGAAGGAGTACGGCACAACTGCCAACCTACCAAGACATGGCCGTCCACCTAAACTGACCGGCCGGGCAAGGAGAGCGTTCATCAGAGAAGCAGCCAAGAGGCCCATGGGAACTCCGGAGGAGCTGCAGAGATCACAGCTCAGGGGGGAGAATCTGTCCTCAGGACAACTATTAGTTGTGCACTCCACAAATCTGGCCTTTATGGAAGAGTGACAAGAAGAAAGCCATTGTTGAAAGAAAGCCCCTTTACTCTGATACCCCTAACTAGAATCTAGTGGAACCGATTGCCTTCAGAATTTCCCTATTAGTACATAGAGTCCCCCTGTGTGTCATGTGATCTCAGTATAAATCCAGCTGTTCTGTGAAGCCCTCAGAGGTTTGTTAGAGAACATTAGTGAAGAAACAGCATCATGAAGGCCAAGGAACACACCAGACAGGTCAGGGATAAAGTTGTGGAGAAGTTTAAAGCAGGGTTAGGTTTTCCTTCCACTTCACAATGATGTGCCACTCTGTGTCGGTCTATCACATAAAATCCCAATAAAATGGATTGACGTTTTTGGTTGTAACATGACAAAATGTGGAAAATGTCAAGGAAGAGGAAGACTTCTTCAAGGCGCCGTATCTCTGGTTTCCTTCAATTCAACTTTAAACCTTAGAATCAGATCAGATCGGCTCATTCTGATTGGCTGATGGGGTCAGATCGGCTCATTCTGA